TTTTAAGTGAGTTTTTCGATTGTTTGTCTTTGCCTTCTGTTTGCCTTCGTTGAGACACAAAGACAACGGCAACGAATTTAAAAATATTGCTCTGAGAATGGAATTCATTAAATATATCGAAACAATATTTTAATGTTGGAGCAGGACGCCAGGATAAACAGATTGTCGGTTGAGAAGTTATTTTAAAAGTAAAAAGCTTTAAGTTCTGGGCATGGAAACGTATTTAATTTAAGCTCTTCCAAAAAAATTCTGCAAAGAATTTTTATAAGCATTTAAAAACGAGTAAGACGGCTCTAGATTGTGTGCTTGACTAGGAGATACCCTAAAATAAAATATGCCAAGTAAAAATTAACAATATGAGAGCATACATAGCCTAAGATAATAATAATAAAAATAGGAAGATTGGATGTTTGAATAAGACTCAAAGGAACTAGGCACGGGCCATAATGGGACCTACGTACAAAATGTCTCTAGCGTTCATATGAACAAATGGACAAACGGACAGGCAGACATCACTAGATTAACACACCTGTTGATGCAATATATCCGTTTCTGGGGTGGGAGAAGACTTATACCTTAAACCATTTTTGTCTGTTTCAATGGGTGCAGGGAATAAGTTTAATTTACTATATTTTATGAATGTTGATTTCTTAAATGACTTTTCCGTTTTTTTTTTGAACACTGTCCAACTACTATTGATGAGTAAATAGTTAAGATCATAAAATAAGCGACTATTAAACCATTCACTTTGTGCATAGAGTAGAAAATTCCCATACTTTCAATTAAATTCTCAAAGTACGGCGCTGATATTTGATACATAGTGTGCTCAATACATTGCATGCCGACATTCTCTCTCTCTTTATGGTAATCGGAAATTTCCATCGAATTTCTCCACTTAAATCCATTCAGCAATCCCAGACCAAACATTTTTGCGGATCCTTCAGCAATCCGCACACTTAAAATATTTACGCAATCAAAATTAATGCAACTGTCATGTTTTGGCCCCCTCGAAGCGTTAAATGCAAATACACTTTAGAATTGTAGCCGACCGCATCAGGAAGCTGCACGCACCCTTGCGCCTTCACACACGTATGCCAGCTACATTCCCCTGGCTGATGCATGTTTAAATTTAAACAGTAAAACCAAACTCATTACCAACAACAGGCTGAGTGTCCTCTGTGCTGTGCTGTGTGTCTGTCCGTCGTTGTCAAATTACCAAACTGTCCTTTTGCGTAATTTTGTGGACATTGAAAATCGCTTTGATTGAACCGCATGCCATGCAGGCAACAACAGCAGCAACAACGGCAGCAGCAACGACTGGCGCACTACAATGGCCGCACATAAAACAAACAGACCACGTCCTGGCAGTGTCCTGGCCACATCCAAATCCACTCGCAGTTGCAGCTGTAAATGCGCTCCGCTGCACTTACACGCATCCCAGTTTCAGTTCGATGTGTAAATTGTCGATGCGGATGCCATGCGGATTGGGTATTGGAGAATTAACGCATTGGAGGATTGGTGGATTGGAGGATTGGGGTATCGGTTTTATGTCGCTTGCGCCCGAATGGAGACGCATTTTACTGCCCTGCTAATCTCCGAGCTATATGTTGCATTCTCCATTAAAAGCGAAACCAAACTCGGCCAACTGCCACCCAGCGCAGGAGAAGGAGGCAGGGAGGTTTGCCGGCCCAGCAAGTTGACTTTGAAAATCAATTAACAACATCAAACAGACACTGGATGCTGACGTGGACAGCTGTTGGGTGAGGCTCAGGGAACAGCCACCCGCCTCCAATGGACTGCAACAGCCTCTTGCCGCCTCGCAAGTGTGTAAATTGCAACTGTTAATCAAATATGACAGCGCAGGCGATGCAAAATTTCCATGTGTGTCAGTCACATTAATTGTCCGCACCAAGTGGGCGGGTCATATGCTCGGCGAAGGGGGCGTATTTTATTGTTGCGTTAATGAGTGTGCATAGCATCGCCGTGGGCTCAGTCGGCTGGGTGTGAGGCAACCATAGGCCATGGTTTGGTTCCTTCCACAGACGCTGACTGCAGTGTGCTGATGTGGCATAAAAATATGTTGCCATACGGCATGTGGCGCAAATTTTAATTAATTATATGCGCAAGTCGCTAGAATAAAGGACATTAATTGGATAATAATTGCATAAATGACAAATAGTTGGCAACATTGATTTGATCTGCACATCGGACAATTAAATGTACAAGAAATATGCCAAGCTTTGCTATCAAAACTCAACACTTCAAATCAAAAGCTCTGACAGTCGGAAAGTCATGTCGTAGACGTCACAAAGCATATCCGGTCAATGACCACTCGTTAAAGAAAACCATTTGCAACTTTCCTAATTAAACAAGCAACAACTTTGTTTAATCAACTTAATCAACTTGAAACGACAAGCTCAAACATACATATACACACACAAAGATAGCCCACAAGTATCCATTCCCCTTGCTAAATTCAGACACAAACTAATAAAATTATTTACCCAACAAAAAGTCAACCCACAACTGCACAATGCACCAACAAAAAAACGCATGGCAAGTTATGAGCACGTAGATGACATAAAATGTGTTGGATCTGAGATGAACAGCAGCTGAGCTGGGTTCGCATCATCGCATTTGCATGCAGCTCGCAGCGAACATGACGTGATAATTAACCCAACTGCCTATAACCTCAGCCATGCCCCCAGTCAGGTTTATTCTCAGCCCCTTTGCTCAAATCAGAGACAATTTACAAGATGCAAACATCAAGTTTTATGACGTCTAGGCCATAATTATGCGCGATTTGTTACGTACGCAACGCTTGGGGATGGATAGGCCCATATATTTGGAGAGTTGGCTTAGCAGCGACAATTTTAATGGGCAATTTATGGGAAGATCTTAGGCAGAGAACTGTCAGGGTTATAGGCAAAATAGTTGTGGGGTTTGAATATTAATGTTCTTCCCAGCTCATGTCAATAAAACTTTATGAATTCGTGCGAGATAAGCATCTGATACGAGCTTTAATGGTTTATGTTCGAAGCTAGATATATTGAGGCCAATAATAAGCACTAGTTGTATATTCGGCCAATTCGATCTGAGTATGAGCTGGCTTTAATATGCCTTATTGCAAAAAGCGAGTATTAAAGCTCTTGCTGTCGTCTCATTGGATTCTTTATCCTTAGCCGGGTCTTTGTTGTCGAAAAAATGCCTGATGAACAGTGTCAGACTGAAACGCAAACCGCATTATCTCATCCTCTTTCCGCTTATCGCACTGTTTATGTGACTTGGGGGCCATCCCGACATGTCTGCGGTATGTGAAAGCATTTCCCATAAGACCTTTCATTGGTGCAATCTTGCCTGGCCGGCTAGACGCCATTAGATGCCACAAGAAGCTAAGCGTCGAGCTGTTGACTGCTTTGTGGTGATAGCTGAGAATTAATTAAACGCCGAATTAAATTAAAATAAAACCGCAAAGTCGCAAACTGCTTTCAAGTGGGGATATACCCGGACTATTACGGCTATTAATAATGGCATAAGCGACTCCAAGATATATTCAGATATACTGTTAAACAGTGAGGGAAACTTACTCCTCGGCCCCGTCGCCTTTTTTGCTTGAGCGTTTTGATGGCTCTGTCTCTCCGGCCTTTCTGAACACCATAGCCTTTGACGTCTGCTTCCTCTGCTTTTTTGTACTCATCGAAAAAGGCACAACAATAAATGCGCCCAACCACGTCGACAAAAGAAAAAAACAAAGCGAAAACTCCTCGGGTGAAAGGCTCATGGCGAATGGTCCGATGGGCAAAAGGGTGAATGGGTCGGGCGGAAGCATGAAACGAAACAACTGCAGCAAATGCAACTCTGGCTGGGACTTTCCACTTCCGCCTGCCCTAAAAGTTTAAATTCATTTCCGTTAGGGCATAGATTTTTGCGAAAAATTAATTAGAAGTTGCACAAACACGCGACTGGATTGGATACAGTGCTTTTATCTTTGCGTTCAATCCCAAAAGGATTCGTTTGTTTTGCCTTTTATTTTCGTCTTCTATTTCATGCCATTTATGTAGCATTTGGCCCATTTAGCAGCCCCGAAATAATCTGCGACAATTTGTCGAATACTTTGCAGAGATCAGCTCTTGCAGGTTTCGGTATGGTTCTTAGCGGGCAAACTGATTAGTGTAGTTTCGTTTAAAGTGTTTGTGCCAACAAACTGTTTACCGAAAACGTTTTCCAATTGTCTTTCGTCTTAAGCTCTCCTCGCACTTCTTAACCGGTTCTAGAGACACGTCCCTCTTGTCGTTTTGTAGTATGTAATTAGTAGCAATTAATTAAGATTAACATTTGATAGCTTCTATTACGAGTGGGCAACAATGAACGTGTCCACGACTTGGCGTCGGGCAGACCAATGTCTACGAGTCTAATGTGTCGACCAGACAGACAAATTTCCCACATAGGTTGCTGCCACCTGACAGAGATAAATGACTCAGTTTGCACTAAGTACACCACGATTAAATACAGGAGAAAAAAAAAGGAAAAGTATTCTAGGTACCCACTTCCAGACTGCCGTTTCATATACTCGAACTAGCTTCTACTAATATTTATATGAATTTTTCACGCTGCGCTTCTTTTCTTTTAATATTGGTTTTTATATGGTTCGCGGTAGGTATCCAACAATTACTTTGTGCAGTAGTAGAAAGTTCCTAAGATATGCCCTTTAACCTTTTCACTCAAAGAGTTTTTTTTGGAGTGATGAACATGAAGATATCCATATAAAAATAAAGAATATCCCTTACCTAATATAATGGTACAATGCTGACAAGATTATAATTATTTATTTGCTTCTTTGCTTAGTCAAGATATTTGAAACAGAAAGCTTTACACAAAATACTTTGATTTCTTATCGTAAGTCCTGTTACAGTTATGGTCGGTCCGATCTAGTAGTTCCTCAGCGTAAACTAAATTAGTACACCTAAAGACGAACTTAAACCTTTTTCGTTTTATTTCAGGCCTGAAAGATCCGAATTTGGATAGGCATACCACTAAAGGTAAGCAAGCGGTGTTTTTAATTGTATTAATTTCTTACGTTAAGCCAGGCAAAATCAAAAATTTATTAAGGCCCCTACTTAAGCTAAAATTGTCTAAATAATTGCAAACCAAAATTTGTTGCTCGGCACAAAGTCAAAGGGCACCACAATAACCCAAACGAAACCCACACACTCGACCACAATAACTATAAATTCCCAGGCTCCAGAGTTCGGGTGGAGATGCGGACGAAGACACCAACCAGAAGCCTCTTTAAAACGCAATCAAGCTGAAAATTAATTAAAATTTTAAGCGGGATATGAAAATAATGTGCAGCCGAAAGAAATTACACTGGCAAACACGCAAGCAAAACAGGACCAAGATCTCACTGCAGCTCACCCAAAAATGCCCCAGCTCCAAACCCTGAACCGCCCTTCACCTCACTTGAAGCAGCGTTTAATTTAAAACTCACTTGTTACATTTTTAGACGCTGACTTCGACTTGTACATCCTCTGGATTCCCGCCACAGTCCCGGCTCCTGCCTTAGACCCCGTCGTTGTCCCAGTTGGAAGTCGTCTCGATTTCATTAAAAATGTTTTTATGCTCACATTATCCTTTTACTTTAGCGTCGACTTCACGTCTCGCTGTTTTAGTGAGCAATTTAATTTGACTATGAAACGGCAGCCGCATCCTTGACACTTTCGCTTTTCCGCCGCACCCCACCCATCCTTTTTTGTAGCCCTGCCTACCCCTTGCCAATGGCTTGTTTTAAGCAGCTTAAGCTTGTCGTTGACGTCCTCGTTACCCACGGTTGCTGTTGCTGTTAAAGGGCTCATAATTTCACGCTCCGCGCACACACGCGCCCCCCCCCTCATCGTGCACAGGTGCACCTGTGACTGCCACTCGTTCGTGGCCTTTAAGTGAAGAGTTCCCACTGAATTCTGTGTGCGTGTGCCGACACAATTTTCACCAACAATTTTGCTTCTTTTAGCTTTGAGTTTTCCTGCTTGAGTTGGAGAAGACCTCACTTCAAATCCAATAAACTTAAGTGCGCCGCCGCTGGCGTTGGTTTGGCCTGGCCTGGTCTGGATCCGATATTGGTCTGACGCATTGCCACTATTCTGGCTTGTTGGTATTGCATGCCACACGATCCCATTCTTAGGAGTTGCCACTGTTTGAACTACTCTAGCATTGAACTAAATGTTGTATAGGTGACTGTGAATCATAAAGTGTACGAAGCAAGCTCTCAATAGCTTTTTGAAAATTTTACTTGTACTTACCCTTTTTGTTCTACTCTTTTTACTTTTCCCGCCATTTATGTTGTCCTTCGAAGCCTTGTTTCGATTCGACTTTGACTTCTGTTGACCCTCCTCCAGTACTCGTAGAATTAAATGAAACTTTCAATTACAGACAGGAAAAAATCAACGAAACTTCTTGCATGCCTTTTAGCTATTGAAATGTTGGACATTAGCATTCTACATACGTTTGCTTGTATTTATGGGCTTTTAAATGGATTGGCCTGTCCGGCTAATGTGATGAATGGCTGTGTCAATGCACCCAGCAAAAAAGGCCGTAATTATTCTGTAGTGACAAGACTGGCTTCTTCACCTTTCAGTACTCAGGACCTATACTTCAGCTGCACAATATGCCATAGCTAAAAATAAACTCATCTGCTGCTCACACTCGTATTCCCGGCTACATCACTTTAATTCCATAAATCAAATGCCAAGAACACGTTAAGAAGACCATACGAGCAGCAGGGGGAATGGCAGGCTTACGGTAGACTGCAGACCGCACATATCATAATATTTAACATATTTCACTTAGGCAAACATTTAATCCTGTAACTTGTCTGGTCCTCGACCTGGCCCTGGCCCTGGGCCTGAGCTTGGCTGGTATCCGCGTTTACCTTCTGGTTGCATGCAGGCCGTGGCGGCAACATTTTCATTTCCGTTGGCGTTTTATTTTTATTTCTTATTACACGTTATCAAATAATGAATATCAAATGTAATGCTTATCATTTATTTGCCAAGGCGAGACCCAAATGGATTCGATGGCAGGAACTTCTGCAGAAGCTGACCCAGCCCTAGCTGCTGCCTTAGCTTCAGCCCCATCTCCATCTCCAGGTGGCAACATATATATTATAATATTTACTTAATTTTCATTTCTAATTTTTCGCCTTGGCATGAGGCATATGAAATTGCTGCCAGACCTTGGCCATGGATAGACAAAGTGGAGGAAAGAAATGCTGCATAATAAGCGAGGCTCATAGCGAAAGTTGTTGTTGGTAAAAGTCAATTGGGGTGTGCGAAGCGAGCATGATTCCTGATGTGCTTTGCAGGTGGTTTAAGCCGGCATCTAAAGCGATAAGCACAGTATTTGAATTTTTAATAAAATGAAATGCGAATCCCTACAAGTTTGGCTCGCCCCATTCTTTAATGCATTTGCCACTTGTGCAGATGCTGCCACCACGAACAAAAAAATTATTCAAATTCAGTTCGTGGCTGCCGCCATTTTCCTGTCACTGGCTGTGAAAACTCACAGCTTCCCCAGCTGCTTCTTGGCATATTTCAGCTAATCTTTTGGTCAGCCAGCACTGACACCCACATACCATTGCCTTTTGCGTTCTCATTCCCATTCTTATTGCCCATGACCGTCTGTCTGTCGCCTTGTTGTCTATTCGCTTTTTGAAATTCCAATTTGAATGCTTCGTGGTTTTTCCAGCGACCGCTTCGCCCGTTTTGGCTGTCCCTACGATTCAGTGGCTCGAACCAATATTATTTTATTCATGCCATCGTCATCTTATTTGTCTTTTTCGCACTGCTGGCGTTTTCGTCGTCGTCGTTTTCTTTATTGCACTTGAAAAATCGTAATTAGAATTGGTAATGTATTCAAATTAACTTTCATTTCCGTGTATTTGTTTTGCCTTCGCTATTCTTCATCAAGATTTTGCGCTTTTTGTGGGGGGCGGACATCGCACCCACCTTCTACCTGTGCAGCGAAAGCTTTAACTTGACAATTAAGCGATAAGCGAGAAATGATATTATCTGAATATTGAGTACAAGAAGAATTTGAGCACCCTCATTCCATTTGGCTTCAAACTAAAATTGATTATTCCTGCTAACATTGTCGTAACCTCTAAGCGAAGAACTTCGAGCCAAAATGATCTACTGCAGCGGGATAGGCAGAGAAGGAATTACTTGTACCATCTAGCACATACTTTTGCTACAATATTTCAAAATCTTTGTTTGCCCAGCTACGGAAGGAAAAGTTTTGTCGAACAAAAAGAAACTGAACGTGCGGCGGCATTGAAAACGGAAAAAGCTAAGGAAAATGTGAAAGCAAGAAACTGAAACTTTCGCAGGCGAAATCGTAAAGAATTCAACTAATAAAAATCAGCCACTCAAGTGCGAAAAAATCGCGAAAAGCATCATCAAATAATGTGCCACTCAAGCCGAATGCCAAGCGTGTCCAGCTCCATCCCCAGCTCCAGTCCTTATCCAACCGAAAGACAAATAGAAAACAAAAGTAAAATGTAAAAGTGAGTTGAAATAAAACTATGCTACGGGTAGCTGGCGAAAAGTTGCGCCGCCAGCCCGAAACCCCAAAATAATACAAAATTGGCAGAGAATGCAGCCACACGCCCACCAAAACGCCCCCTTTGGATATACGTCATCAGGCAAACTTCGATGGGTAAGCCGAAGCATTGAAGCGCCATCTGTCTTTCCTTTTGGATGAGGCGGTGGGATGCGTGGGGCAGTGGGAGGGGTTTGCTGATGCGTTGGCCACATATTTCCGCCGCCACGAAGCGTGCTAGGTATTTACCCAGTTGGTGGAAGCGTGTGTGCGTAGCGGAAAAGCAATTTTCCTTTGTGTCGTGCTCAGGTTTCAGCTCGGATTGTTTTCGTCGTCTACGTTTTCCGAAAGAGTTTTTCGTACGCGCTGCATTGAGCTGGCAAATTTGTTGCAACAGAAATAAACACTTTATTAAATGCATTGGAATAAACGCAGCCGAAAGAAACTCCTCCTGAGCATTTGTTTTTGTCTATACGGCACATGTGGATAAGCTGTGGGGATAAAAAGTTGGCGGGCTCTTGGCACAAAGTGAATTTGGTGCTAAGCTTTGCTAAAAGATTCAACTGTGCAACGCAGCAAAGTAGAAAAGTAGGGAGACTAAAGAGTCGAGTCAAGTTTTGTAAATATTTAATTTTAATTTTTCTACATATCTATAAAAGAAATGTTCTTTCAGTTTCGTGTAATGCTCGTGTACATGCCTCAATTCAATCATTTCATCAATTTCAGCGAGTATACAAATTATGATTTAAATATTTATTTACTTTTTGCATGAGCCTCCAGCCCAAAGCGCCAGCCTCTCTGATCCCGCACACTTAGGCACACAACTCACACATCTATACATAATCGAAGCCAGGAATCAAATTATGCTAGAATTGAGATTGATTTTTTATTCAATTTTAATGCGACAAACGAAGGCAGATAAACAGACACCGACACCGACAACAGAATCAGCTCTGATGCACACACACACACACACACACACACACACGCACAAACACTTTCACACATATCCCATGGCTCTTGGCCCGTGGGCCGATGGCGTCGGATTCGTTCCTGGGCCCTATATACCCAGTTACAGGGTGCTTCAAATCAGAGTCAAACACGTGGCCATGGCCGCAGCAGCTCCGCATCGGTGGTTGGGGAGAAATTATAACAACGATGGGACACGGGGGAGTGCCACTGGATTAGGTCGCTGCCGGCTGTCCTCATCGTCCTTATGGGGAACTTTTTGAATATTACAACATAAATCGATTAGCTTCCAGCAGTCTGCATCACATGTGAGTGTGTGTGCGTGTGTGTTTGTGCTTCTCTTTACTTTGTGAGTGTGAGTGTGTGTGCGCGTGTGTGTGTCTTCTCACTGATTGACACTTGAAGTAAAATTTTTTGCTCTCCACTTTTTGCTGTTTGCTGTCGTCCATTGATATGCGTCTGCCACTTGACTTGACAA